TGTTGCTCGTTTGTTATCCCACCACACTCTTATCTTAACCTGCACCATCATAAAGAGATGACAGCAATAATGACCCATATATATACATAAATATCTTAACATGTTTTATATATATTCAGAGGAGAAATATGCTAAATAAGTCGAAAGGGATTAGTTTCTTCACTTGGAAAGAAACTTCTCCCTTTCTTTTCCTTTCAGTTTTCTTTTACAACCATTTACTTTCATAAAACAGGAAATTTATTCATCGTTTTAAAGCACAAACAGTGAAGGCTACACAAGCAGATATATAGATAGATAGATAGATGATATATTCTTTAACTCATATCTCTATGATAACAATGATACGCAGAATAGGAATCAAGTGGAAGCTAAAAATACCTCTGTATATTCATGAGTGTGTGTGTGTGTGTGTATGTGTAGGTACATGTACGTGAGTGTTTTTGTTGCTCGGTTTCTGTTGTATTTGGCTTTCCTCCTCCATACGCCTTCTCCTCATCATTTTTCTTTTTTGTCTTTCTTACAATCTACTCAAGAACATCATGAATCTGTCCTCAGTGTTTTTTCTGCTCTTCACGAAAAAGATGGGGGGGAGGGAAGCATATTATGTCATGTTTTCATATACACTGGCCCACCATCAACCCCCCCACCACCACTAAAATGAATCAAAAAATGAAAGGAAAATAAAACGACAACGTTTGAAAAATTCTCTCATTTCAACATCTATTTATAAATATTTTTATATATGTTGAATAAATTAACATTAAGAGGTCGTTAGTGGAAATAAAATAAATTTCCCGATGACCTTAAAAAAAAATACTCCAAATAGTACTATTTGACTAGTAGCAATAATGTACTCCTTCGGGTTCAAGGGAAGGATGTTCATAGGGAGAATGTGGGAGGTCTGAGATTGATTCTTGGCTGATATGCACGCCTAAACTTCACCTAGTCGACAGGATGCCTGAAAAAAGGAATAAGGTTGAGCCTAGTTCAAGACGCCTTTGCAATGTGCCACTTGTGATTGAAGCCAGGACATCCAAAGTTACGAGGTTAACCCTGTCAAACATTCATACCACCACCAGGGTTGAGATCCAATGTACTATGATTCTCTGAGTAATGTTGGTTTGTGCCGATGTCACTAATGAAATTGGCTGAAGTGTCTACAAAATTCAAAATCTGTTTATATAAAACTTCAGCTCATATTTGGCTACTGGATGAATATTGTAAATTCTTAATGAAAATTCACGGTGCTTAACTGGACGCTTATTAAAGTCGTTCATTAGTTGTTAGTAGCTTCATAAAGTCATTGAATTCCAATTCAGTGATTGCATGGTTAACGGGGTTGCCGCATAACATAATGTTCTCTAGATTTCAGTCGTTGGCTGGGGGTCATGGTTGTACACAGGTCAATATGGTCTTGAACCAAGGCGAAACAGCTCTCCAATGCTTTCTTGTTTTCCAATGATTCCCTGACATATATCCAAGTAGTGATGAATCCTTTATTGAAATTAATTAAAGCCCCATATAAGCTGTAAAATTCAAATAATACTGATGACAGTAGAATATTTGTCATTCTTTACATTTTTTTCATGCTTAAGAATATTCTCCCACTATTCCTCACTGAAGTGTAGTTCAAAAATCTAGACACCGAAGTCTTAAACATAGTGTTACTTAGCTTAGCAATGAACACATGCCATTTGATTACTTCTTAGTTACCAAGTGACGCATCCGTCGCACTCCTAAAGGAGCTGCCTTGTGAAATTCGATATCACATTCGTTAAGTCTTTGACTTACGATTAAATCTCAGATGGCAAGTTAGTTCCTTCAACGATAGTGATATGCTTTGTTGATGAACTCCAGAAGGCATAAAATCTAAGTTTAATACATCCTGTCGACTTCTACTGACTGTGTAAATCTCAACCTTTACTCATTTTTTTAGAGAATTTGCCTGGTACATACATATTTTCAATTTTGAACACAAATTGTTATCAGTTAGAGAACCACTAAAAACGAGAAGAGAGTGCTGGGTAGGTATTTCGTCTTAGTTTACGACTCTTCATCGATGAGCATCCATGACGTCACTGCCAGAGATCAAATCTAAGACCTACACGCTGCACTTGCAAAGTCATTGACTATTCAGCCCTTGGGAGGGAGTCTAATGGACGACCTTTGAACTCTAACTTTTTTTCATTTCGTGGTTTTAGCGTAACTGCCAGTAATTGCCATCGGTGAGTGTTTCTACTCATATCCGATCTGGTAGGTCGCAGAAGTGACGACGTCTCTCACTAGAACTCAAGGCAGTTTCATTCTTTAGTCAGTTAGTCAACAGTGGACATCGGATTAGTTATTTAAGAGTCAATTGGTAGGGATTTGGCTTGCATCCAATGTGTTCACGGACTGGGAATAGTCAGAGAACCATTAAAAACTGGCATGCAATACTGAACAGGTGTTTTGTCCTAATTAGCAACTCTTCAGCGATGGAAATTGTAACCTTCATGTTTCAAAGTGAGGCTAGTTGATCATTCAGGCCCCTAGACAGGAATTCAGTGACCCAAGAGTTCTAACTTCTATCAGATCGATGGTTCTCTGACTGATATCAATTCGTGACTGAACTTGAAACAAATCAAGTCTGTACAAACCAGCTGTTGAAAATAATAAACATATTTCTGCATTATGTCTAATTAAAAGGGTAGAGAGATGACAATTAACGTCCATTGTTTTCCTTTACCTTCTAAATTTTATACTGTTAGTGTTTCGTTTTGCGTCTATTGCCAAGGGAATGCATTCCTAATAAAATTGTTATGTAACCATTTTCTGCTATGGTTGGCGATATATTTAATAACAACTGTAGGCTGCATGGAGTGAAGTGTAAGCCATATATATATATATATATATATATATATATATATATATGTTACACAATGCTTCCATAAAGAAGGATACATTTCATTTCGTTACAGTAAAGTATATTTTTCCAGTTATTAATTTAATCGAGAGAAAGTGAGAGTAGGGAAAGTTATTGCTTACTTTATAAAATGTTTCAATCTACTCAAAAACAATCATAAACCTCGAGCAGTCTCTGGCGTCCTTGTTATTTTATGAATAATCAGACGTGTTTATTTGTTTACCAAGAGAAAACAACTGTGTCATATATTGCCTCGATATAAATTAGTAGTTCAAATTTACTCCGGGGATCAAGATTAAAATTTAGATAATCATTAATAGGAGATTATGCCCTTCTATGGTCCACTTACTGTATCACTCACTGACTGATTTATCAGGTTCATCTAATCGAGTATCAGGTTATGGCTTTATTAGTTTGACTGCGACTGTCTTGAATGGTGTAGGTGTGTGTATGTGTTGTGGTAAGTGACAGTGAAATGAAGAGGTGCCTAGACTGACTGATTAGGTTTCTGTGAAAAACTTTGCACGAACATCCATCAGTTCATGTTGTGGCAGACAAAGGCACAGAAATGGAAAGTACTTTAGAAGAACTATAATGATTAGAAATATACGGTAGAAAGTGTGGTGAATTGATGGATCTGGGAGGTTACAAACGGTGAATGCATCTATACCATTGATAAAAGTTAAGAACCATATCACCAAAGTTCCAAGTCTTTGATTCTTGGCATCTTGAAAACCCCAAAGAGGTAGCTTACACCTTCCTATATGGCTTATAATAACGGTTGAAGCCATCATGGATTCAAGCCAAATTTTAATTTAACCATCACTAACGTTTTTCTGACTTAATCTTATGTCAGCAAAGATTATTGGACAAGGAAGGGTGTGATTTCGAATGTATTAGACGTGTTCTGAACATCCCATTCAACGTAGCTTCACAATCCAATCAACTGACATCCCTTCCCTGTCTAACACTATCAGCCTAACTTCAATGTTACTGAGTTACTTACCTGCCTCCGGGTTCAAGGTGATCGAAAATTCTCTGATCCCAGGTGTAGGCTTGCCATTGCACTTCTGTGAATTGAAACTCGCAAAGGACCTTAATCGGGTTAGCTCAGGCGCGTAGTTTTTTTCAGTAGGGAGGCCTTATGGTCTTGTCCACTTAAATATGCCTCGGTGCCACACCGATTAGGACGCTCTTCGACCATGATCATGGTCAACGGTTCGGTCTCCAATCGATGCACACATGATACCAATTGTCAGGCTGCTAAATTTGGCCTACCGATATCACAAGCTTTACGTGACGCAAGCACAGTGCAAGTTTCTGACCCTTGAAGGAGCACTGACTGACTGAATTCACATTTGTGTTGAACAGAATCCGAATCTGTGCGCCGGTGGCACAGTGGTTAGGACTTTCGCCGACCATGCACATGGTCCGGGGTTCGAGCCCACGCCGACGCACACCTGATATCTTTGGTCGGCCTGCGGAATTTGGGCTACCGATATCCATGCTGAAAATTCCATACTTGTACCAAAAATACAGTGTGGAATCAAGCTGTAAATCAAAAATAAATTAAAAAATAAAAATAAATAAATAAATCTTATTGTTTATGCTGGCTGACTAGCTGAGTGAGTGACTGCAGAAGATATCTGAACTGCTTTCAGGTTGATGACGGCCTATCTTACTTTCCGATCCCCACAGACTAGCTTTGACATCTTAATCCATGCTATCCGACTGCTTGTCTTCGAAACGGCGCTTCCCTCCTAGCTGGATAAGTGAAGGCAGGAAGTGACCTCTACAAAGTCGCTCTCTTCGATGGTGATGGGTGCTGTTTTTTGTTGCTGTTGAGTATCTGTACATGGTACCCATTTTAAGGGCTAATTATTAACCTATAATAACTTACGGTCTATCTAAGGTCGCAGGTTGTATAAGAGGTGATTTTTGAAGCGCAGATGCCTAGAAAAAGAGTTTGAAGGATAAGTTTCTAAGTGCGAGTCCCAGATGTGACAAACATGTATCTTGAATTTTGTTGCTGTAAACCAAATTTGTTTCTCTTATGAATAATTTTCGCCTTAATTTTCTTCTTCTCTCCCTGTTATAGATTTATGGAAAGTGTTTAATAATTCGTAATTTAATGGGTGAAGTTGTCAAAAAGTTAAACAATGATCAAATAACCGATTTGTCATTGGATAACTCAACTGTCTCGTTAACATTTATTGAAAACACAGATTGCCGTGAAGTTTCCTCATTTCAATTCCATTGTGATAAGGTAAGTGACTATTGCGAAGAAGAAGATGGTTTTATTTTTATTTATTGAAGCACTTTCCTCTGTTATTACTTTCACATGTGCTTATTTTTCAATGGAGCATGATATACATGAATACCTCGGTGGTTCATGGGTAGAACTGTCGATAATCACACACGGGGTCCGAGTTTGATTCCAGTTCGACAAATTTTATAAACTTTGCCCTAACCTGTAGTAAGCTTGTAAAAAGCGGTAAAACTGGGTGTGAGACTGGTTAACCGTCCCCACATAATGAAGACACCACCGTTACTGAAACTTTTAAACAGGTCACGTTTGAAGCCTTATGTTCCCACAAAGGATGCAAGGGAGTTGAAAACAAAATGGATAAAAGCTTGATCAAATATTCATCCACCTATCCACATTGCAGGGGATATTCATCGGATTTGGACACAAATTGACATTTTACTTGTTGTTTTTGTTGCTTGTTTTTATTCATGAATAAGTCTTCATATGAGACTGGATACACTTTTGGGTGATTATTATACACATTACACATGAGGCAACAGTTCAGGTTGAATAATAGTCAATAAGAAAAGCCATTTGAAAAAAAATGGATAAACTCATTTACCTCTGTTGTTTGGTGGACAGTGACTAGTAGTAGAATCGAGGATGCGCATTTCCTCTGCAATTGGCACTCGTCACTGGATATACCCGCACCCCCCCTCTCGCTTACATTCAAACCCTGCTCCATGGCGTGTGAAACAATGAGTGCGGATTTAGAGGATGGGTGGGAACTGCATTACTCAGTGGAGGAATGCAGGAACACCTGACTTAGGAGTCTTAAATTAGATGAAATCTGCATCTGGCATCCAACTCCTGGTTACCATCAACAAACATATTACATTAAGTTATTCTTCAGACATTGTCAAAGCTTGCATACGAGGGGTCAACACGTCAAGAGAGACCAAGCATTTAAGTCCGGCCTAATCCTAGTATGGAAAGTGCAAAATAACTCAGAAAAGTAGTACAAATTTACTAGTGAACAAAGTCTGTGACCCATGATACCTAATTATTTATTAGTAAGAAAAGAATGTTAACTGATAACATTGTTGTTGTTTCCCTGGATTTCATATTAAAATACGGCTTCAACAACACATCTCCCCTTTCCCTCTGTTCCATGTGATCCTTTTTTCTGTCTCGATCTAAGATTGCTCAGAAGCCATCTCTTCTTCCATACACACGGTCTCTTCTGTGTCATTCTCGGAGGCGGAACACTTCTTTTCCCATTTGACTTCCACTTTAGGGCCTGGTGTATAGTGTCACTCAACTGTTTCTTCAGCATCTAGTCCATATGTCCAGTCTATCTTAAATGCCTCTAACTAATATTTTACTATTTATGATTTCTCCGACTCAAGGATATCGATCAAGTTCTAAGTTTGGTCATAGAGTCACCGTAAGCAGTTCACAAAAAAGTGTCACGCATTGAAGAAAAACGTATTTTCAGATAATTACAACCAATTCAAACTTTGTAGTTTTTTTTTTTTTTGAGATTCGCAATTGACGCGGTTTGAGGCAGAATTTGGCCATAGTTCTCTTTTGAAAAAGAAATTATTCAGATGAAAATATGAAATCTGCTTGATGCTATAATTAGCGATCTCGAAAGCAAGCATAAACGCATGGTGTCATATACTACTGATTGGTTGGCATGAGTAGTCGTATACCACTCTCATTAACCAGTAGAGCTTGTTTGTCTAAAATTGTCTAAACACCCCGGAAAGGTGTTTCGCTCGTTTAGAGATGAGCTCACCAGTGGTGTACCTAGGTTAAACTGAGCTCAGCAAGTCGAATTCTGACTAGTTACGTGGGCGGACTGGTGACAAACTGAATCAGAATCACACGTGTGAATACTTTGAGTGAAGCACTCCCCTACCCTGTGAATTACATAGAAGCATTGACTCTAATATGATACTAGTATTGAAAATTTCGATGTGTTCTTTTTCACAAGTGCTGAAGGTCTTCACACTAATTCCAGGGTAATAAATGCCTCTTCAACTTTCTTGATGTTATCTGGCTTTGACACAGTGATGTGTATTGCTTTTAGTTGGAATAATACTTTCCAAGGAAACGATGGGCATAAGTTCATTTAGATTTCTCCTGTTTCTTGTGATTAAAGCTTTTTGTTGTTAGGTGAATATGTCTTTACCATCTGAAGTCCAATCTTAACTGCCTTTACTACCGACGTGTTGGTTTTCACTTATAAAGCTTCAAGTTTGTACTACATGAGACACAAATCATCCACGAAATCCAGGAATTCTAGGGGTCTTTTTGTCAGTCATGTGATAGGAGATGAAAGCATGTTGTCAGACATGGGGCCACGTGAAAACTCTGGCACAGAACCGAATGCAGTGGAGACGTGCGGCTAACGCCCTAGGTTTCTCTAGGAACTAAAGGAAATAATAATAATAATAATATAATAATAAGTTTATCAGTCACATATATGCATTAATTATTTTATCCTCTGTACATATCCCAGTTTGATATCTTTAATTTTCTTTACATTCCATTATAAACACTTTTTAAAAAAATCAATAATCAAGGCGAAACAAATATGTCATGCATTACAATTATTAATTCAAAAGGCGACCTCAACTGAAAATCTACACTAGCAGTTGTTCAAACAACTTGTTCCTGTAATTTTGCATTTTCCTATCTCTTTTATTGAGGTAAGCTTCGATGTATGTGTATATTTTTAATTATATGGAAGATTGAATATACACGTAGTAATTATTTCTTTTTGATGATTTTTCTGCTGCAGCGAATGAATTGATTTTCCACGGGGTAGAGTCGTTAAGCCCACTTTCAACTTTCTCTCCTTTTCCAGGCTTAGGACCTCTAGTAAACTAGAGGAAATGAAGTAACATGAATTGTTGATAGTGTAAAGCTACAGTCAGGTGAAATATTTGTACAAGTTACGGAAGGGACAATTTATCTTGAGAAATGCTTAGATCAAAAATTGGAAAAAACAATCCGTCTACTTTAACTGGTACTAATTAACGTCATATATGTAGCCCTTCGTTTGGTGTAAAATGAATCCTATCAGTGAAATTTGCTACGACGAGTGGCAACAAGCACGTGACATAAGTCCAGGGCTTCCTGTCGGCCACCCTCGACCACCTAAAAACAACAATTCAGTGTGAACCGTAATGGCGTGCCATCTAGCATAGTGGCCACATTGCAAACTTGGCTGGTAGAATTCAGTCTGCACTTAACGAAACCGGAAGTGGTCGCCTCCGACCACCTAAGAATATATTTATCTCGACGGCTGATAACAGATTGCCAGTAGTTTTCCATAAAGCGTTTTTGTATTACTGGGCTGCATCTTGTGTAGCAAAATTAACTATGTACTCACACGATAACTAGTTTTAGCTATCTAGCTGTGATCAATAATCTAAATATTTGGATCAAATATTCAAACTTATCTCTAGTCTTCTTGAAATGCATTTTCATCACTCCTAGAAAGACTAATTACTATGGTTGTTATACAAAAACTGAAAACGATAGTGATCATCATCAGCATGTTTGAAGAAACAAAGAATTCATAACAGACAGAATAAGAATCAGACAACACGAATTGCTTTCTTAAATGTCTCTGCCAAGAGAATGAACACAGGAAATCTATAAACACAGACGTAGAGGAAGTCAGCCCGCGCACAGACTCAATACACAACAACAATAACAACAGCATGCAAAAGAAATCGTGTGCAAATATTATTTAGACGAGTTAAAACACAATTCGACACTCCAGTACATGAGATAATAGAAGAGAAATATGTAAAAACTGTCTTAAAAAAATGGATACCCTCAGAATTTCATGAAAAAAAATTGAAGTACCATTGAAGAGTCGCAGACTGGAACAAGATAATTCCATTACCAGGCGTCTCCTTGATACGGATCATCAGGGTGATAATCCTTTAGAATTATTAACAGACAAGAAAGCTTAATGCTTCTCAAGTTTGCCAAAGAAATCTCTATCGAACGCCTGAAACCAAATTTTCATGTTCACATAGAAGTAGTTATCAGTCTTTCCCTACCCGCCCTTGTAACTGAATGTCTTATTTCTCTATGTCATCTGATTGCGTAATCTTTTTGGCCTTGGCCACATCCCCCCCTGTTAATGTAGTGTAATTTTGCTTGTTTCATATTATTTGAGTTGAACTCAGTACATTGCTACCCAATTTACTAGTTACTCGTCATTATTACGTAACTCCTTTACCATTGTATGCATACACTGACTTTGTTTAAATTTGAACTTTCTGTATAAAAATTATATAAGTGTGATTTTATGAGCACTGTTCAGTGAGTTTGGAACCTTCAATCAACTGACATCATGTTAAATTTGCAAGTATGTTGAAATCTTTCTGTAGATTTGATTTTTGATTTGATTTTTGATTTACAGCTTGATTCCACACTGTATTTTTGCTACAAGTATGGAATTTTCAGCATGGATATCGGTAGCCCAAATTTTGCAGGCCGACCATAGATATCAGGTGTGCGCCGGCGTGGGCTCGAACCCCGGACCATGTGCATGGTCGGCGAGAGTCCTAACCACTGTGCCACCGATGATTTATTTAGTCTGTGTGATCAGCTGAGGTGAGAAGCCAACGAAATAAACAATGATGATGTTACCTTAGTATATTGCAAAGATTGTTATTCTTGCTTTATTCAGAGACAAGATTATTTTTTGAATGTTTTATTCAGTGACTCTCTAACTGGTATATATTTGTTGGTTTCATTTGAAAATGTGCAAACAGCAAAACAATACGAATGGTCATTCTTTCAAGGTATACCTTCCTATACTCCCCTCCTCATCCATGCTATACTCATTACCCAAGTCCTTCTTCTCATTCTACTACTATTACTAGCATTGCCTTCTTTTCCATAAAAACGAATCATTAGACAATGCTGAAATGAAGTAACTCACAGCATAAGAACATGATGTACAGAGGAGAATTCAGTGAAGCTTTTGAAGGAAAGGCCGAAGTAAGAAAAAGTTGCATATTATCGTTGATGATGGACTGGATCATAAAACACACCGTTGGGAGTGATAAGATAAGACTTGGAGGATCTGGATTTCGCCGATGATATATGTCTGATTTCCCATAAACTGGAAGATATGCAAGTGAAAAGTAACAAGCTGGCAGAAGAAGCATCAACGATAGGACTTCACGTGAACATAGATAAAACAGAGATGATGAAGATTCCTAGCCAACATCAACAGCAACAACAACAACAACAGACAACAATCAGCTAGCATAAGTGGGAAGAACCTGAAAGAAACAACCTCCTTCACCTACCTGGGAAGCATCGTCTCAACTACAGGCGGAACTGATGAGGACATCAAAGCCAGAATCGGAAAAGCAAGACAAGCTTTCATTACTCTCAAATCTGTGTGGAGGTCAACAGCACTCAGCATCAAAAATAAGATCCGGATTTTCAACTCCAATGTGAAGTCAGTGCTACTATACGGATCAGAGACTTGGCGAGTCATAAAGAGCATCTCAAACAAACTTCAAACCTTCATTAACAGCTAGCTGTCTTCGCTTAACACCACTCAAGATCAGATGGCTGGCCAGAAAAGATCAGCAACAGGGATCTCTGGGAGCGAACCAATCAGGAACCGATTGTGAAACAAATAGGCAGAAAGAAATGGAGATGGATTGGCCATACGCTGAGGAAACCATCAAGTGACATCACTAGACAAGCCCTCGAGTGGAACCCGAAAGGGAGGCGGCGAGTTGGTCGTCCAATGGTGACTTGGAGGAGGTCATGCAAGGAGGAGATGAAAGCATGTGGACATACCTGGAGCAGGGTGAAAAAGTTGTCAGAAAACCGAAGGCAATGGAAGTGCGCAGCTGAAGCCCTATGTTCCTCTAGGAACTAAAGGATACAATAATAATAATACGTTGGGTTGAAAGGAAGACTTGAATTTCATGAACGATATCTGTTTAATATCACATAAACTTGAAGATATCTATAGGCGAAAACCAACAAATTCGCAGGAGAAGCAGGCAGCGAAGCGACGACTTCAAGTAAACATAACAGAAAACAGGGATTATGAAGATACCTCACCATCAAGAACAAGCACCGACTACAACAAATGGAGGAAATTTGAACGAAGTCATTCCGTTTACTTTTTCAGGCAGCATTGTTTCACCTACAGGCGTTGGCAAGGAGGAAGATGTCTAGGCTGGGGTTGGAGACTTGATGCGTAACAAGTGATTCTTACATCTTGCTGAAGACTTATCAACAGTTTCCTTATATGTAAAGCTGAGGCCAGAAATGATTACCACCTAGGAACTCTTGGAACAAACCAACCGAGAACCTACTGACCAGTAAACATATAGAAGAAAGTGAGGATGGATCGGGCACATGATGACGAGACTGTTGAATGACATCATGCATCAGGCCCTTGAGTGGATGGCAAATGGAAAACGACGAGTTGGAAGTTTGGGGATGATACAGACGATATCGTGTAAGGAAGAGATGAGAGTTTAGGCTCAGTTGTGGAGCTAGCTGAGGAGGACTACTGAGAACAGGTTGAAATAGTGATTTTTTGTTAAAGTCCTATTTCCCACTCGAAACCAAAAGGAATAATAATATCAGCCTGATGCTCACTAGTGACTGAGGCTATTCAGGTAGGTATTTACCTGGGTTGTAGGGAAAAGTAGTGATCAGTTGGGTACAGCAGGTCGGGTGTGAAGACAAATACTCACCAGCAATCAAACTGGCTGGTGGTTGTGTTATATCCTGAATCGGCAGAAGTTCAGATTCATGGGCGATTAGATAGGGTCCGAGTGTGTTAGTGATCTACCAGCCCGCCTCGTAACTGGAAGGCCCTGCAGTCGGGGTGCGTGCTGATGAAAAGAACTAAACAAGGTTGACGGAGCGGCTCTCCAGTACTCCCAGGTTTTTTGATAGTTCTCTAATCGATGTCGGTTCATAATGAAACCATTTAACCAATCAAATCCCTGCAAACCGCTACTTGAATAAATAATAGTGTCTGATATCTTGATAACTGGTTATTTAGTCCTGTGAAGGATTAGTTTTGTGTGTGGTTTCGCTTTTTGACTGTGTTAATTGACTCATCAAGGGTCTCACTTCTTAACCTATGGGTTCAGGTGAAGTTGTCGAAGAGTCTGTTTGAGGACTACAAAACTAGGTTAAAACGAACTATTTTTTTTCCTATAGTTTGGTTTGTAAGGGTTAGTTCTAATTTTATTAGCTGATCACGGATTGATATCAGCTAGAGAACCATTGAAAACCAGTTGGGAGTACTCAACAGCTGTTTCATCCTAGTTCGGGGAATCATCGGCAGTACGCACCCATGCTAAATCACGAATTGTTAGAAGTTAGAATTCACGAGCCATTGAATCGGTTTCCAATGGCTGAATGGTATATGAGCTTGCCTTGTAACCGGAAGGTCCTGGCTTCGAACCATGAGAGTTGGTGCGTACTACCTATGATTCCCAAACTAAGATGAGATAGCTATTTAGTACTCCCTGGTTTTCAATGGTTCTCTAACTGATATCAATTCGTGATCAACTCGTAAGAACTATTTTATTGCACTTTGGTTGCTTTTCTTTAGCGATTCCATAACCGATGGTAC